GGAGAGGGAGGTGGTGGTGGTGTGTATTTTTGGGCCCCCTATACTTGTGCTGTTCTGCGGTATGTGCGTCGCCCCCCCCCGGGGCGGCGCGCGCGCCGAGAGAGCTTCTCGTATGTGCGTCGTGGCGGGCGCTCGCCAGCCGCACCGCTCGGGAAACGATCTCTTTTACAAGACGGGTATACCGTATGCTCGGGTCGGACGCGCGCCTCCAGGCGCCGCGGCGGCACCTGCTGCGCAGAAGGTTCGGAAGGTGGCGGTCGAGGGAAAAGGCTTCGTGACCTGCTCGTCGCTCTTTCGCACGCCGTCCGTCCCCAGCACCACTCCCTGCACTGCCCCCCGGTGTGTAGATTGAGCCGGGTGCGGTCGGCGTTTGGACAACGTTTGCACGAACAGGCGACGAGGGCTGGTCGAAATCTCGACGAACTCCGGTCGAAATTGCGTTGAGGATAGGGCCGCGGAGGTCCACAAGAGGCTCCCGTGAACCCTTGCCCAGCCTCAGCCCCCCCCCTTTTCCTTGGGCCCTCTGTTCCCCCTCCCCCTGGCCCAGGACCCCGGCCCCCATGGCCACTCTCCGTGGCCCGCGTCGGCGCCCTCTCTGGCCTCAGCCCGGGGGCTCTTTCTCTTCTGCTCGTCTCTCGCTCTTTGTCGCTCGTCCTCGCCCGGGGCCCTGGCCCTGGGCCCTTTCTTTCTGTTCGGCTCGCGTTGGTTCCTCCTTTTCGGCCTTGGGCCCACTGGCTAGGTTTTTCTTATGCTGACCTGGTTCAATCCGGATTGGTCCCGCTGGATCCCGTTCAGATCCAGCCTGATCCCGCTGAGTCCCGGGCTGAATCCGGCCCACTCCAGCGAAGTTGCCATTGAATCGGGCCTGTCATCGCCCTGATAATCGTACTGGCGCAGACCTTCCAGGACGTGCCTCCTCACACGAGCCTTCAGTCGGGCGTGTCCCTCTCCAGGAGGAATACTCAAACATAGTCAGAAAATAGTCTGCGGGGACGACTTTATGATTACTTTTGGACTCTTTTTTTGTTGGGCTGCTATTGTTTTGTCCAGAAGAAACGTGCAGAATCCCGCCTCACACTGGCCCCCCTGCCCTCACGCTGGCCTGTAGGGGGACATGCCCGCCCTCACACTGGCCCCCCTGCCTCCTGCGCCCCCCCCCGTGCTGGAGCCCGCCCACGGGCTCTCGCCCCGCGGCTCCCTGTCCCTGAGGGGTGGCCCGGTCGTCCTCGGTCGGCCCTCTCGCCGGACGGCCTCTGTCCAGCAGGTGCGAAGCGTCTTGGCTCGCCTATAGCCCTTCCAAGCCACGTTCTAAGAACATTCGGTGGTTTCCACGCAATGTCCTCAGAACATGTTTGGCTGGCACCGTCTTGTTTTCACACATCTCAGAACACTTTGTTTGTTCTGAGAACATGTTTGGGCTCTGCGAGCATGTCGTGGCATGGCTGCAGGAATGCCGGGCCTGCGGCCCCTCCTCAACCCGGGGCGGCCCGCCTTTTTTCGGCGCGTCGTGGCCTCCTCGTGTGGAACTGGCCGTGGTGGACCTGCGCGAGCTCTCCTCGCACGGTGCCTCTGCGGGCTCCCGCAGAGCGCTCGTCGCACGTGCCCCTGTGGTGGCCCTGCGCGAGCTCTCGTCGCACGTGGCCCTCCGGAGGTGGGCGCTCTCGGAGCTGCGGCGGCCTGCCGGGCGCCCCCCCGCGGTGCCAGAGCCACGTACCGTTGGCATGCCCGGGCGCCGCCTCGAAGCGAGGGTCGGAGCCTCGTGCGGGGGCGGGAAAGAGGGGGGTGATGACTAGGGGGGGGGGGATATCATGGCGGGGGCCATGATATTTCCCCAGATCTTATGGCGCCTCTTCTTATTTCATTACGTCCCCGGCCCCCCCGCTGGGCCGCGCACGTGCCGCTGGTCATGATTTGCGCCCCCCCCCCTCTTGGACACCCCCCTCTTGGCCGCTCCCGACTCGTGCGGGGAGGGCCGGGGGTCGTGAGGCCCTCGGGGGCGCGGCTCCTGGCGTCACTGACAAGAGGGGTCTGTTCCGGGGAGCTCGAGCCTGGCGTCGCTTCCGAGGGTTCTCGTCCCAGCGGCACGAGCCCAGACGTATTTTCAACGGATTCTGGCATCGGGAGCGCGAGTCTGAGGATGTGTATCAGGGAGTCTCGGCCTCGGGAGCGTGATTTTACGGCAGTGTATGCATCCAGCGTAATTTGCAAGGGGGTCTGGTTTCGGGAGCGCGAGTTTGGGAGTGATTTGCAGAGGAATCTGGCCTCGGGAGCGCGAACCTGGCGAGGAGGAGTTTGGCCTCGGGATCGCGAGTCTATCGAGGGTGAGAACGGATTGGTTAGCGCGAGCTTGGCTAAATGTGTGAGGGACTCTGGTCTCGGGAACGTGAGTCTGGCGTACTTTACCAAAGGATTCATGCCTCGGGGGCGCGAGTATTATGTATTTGCATGTGCCCCAGAGCCCCCCAATAATGTATAAGACCACACGAATCGGTCGCGTTGGCCAGGCTGGGTTTCGGCTCGCCCCACCCTCGCGCGGACACTGACAAGCTACAGGAGGAAACCGACAGTATAAGGGGACCACAGCTAATGTGTTTTAGCAATACATATGCGGATCCGTCAGTCCCTCTCTCTCTATATATATGGTGAGACTACACATGGCGTATTATTATGCAATGTATGTTGTGCAATCTATGCTGTGCACTCTATGTTGTGCAACCTTGTGCTAGAATATATAGGTATATATACATATAGAGATATATGGTGCATCCGGTGTGGTGCAGTCTGTGCGGTGCGCAATCTATGCGGTGGGATTGACGTGGTGCAGTCTACGTGGTGCAACATATGCTGTGCAATGTATGTGGTGAGATCTATGTGGTGAGTATTTGCGGTGCTATGTCTGTGGTGCAACTTATGTTGTGCAAGCCACGTGGTGCAATTCTTGTGGTGCCATCAATCTATGTTGTGCAATCTACGTGGTGCGCTTTACGTGATGGAAATTACGTGGTGCAACCTGTACGGTGCAATGTACGTTGCGGGATCGACGGGGTGCAATCTATGCGTTGCAAAGCAAGGTCATGCACAGCGAGGCAAAGCAATTCATGTGCTGCTATCAAACGGCGGCGACGAGCGGCGCTGGCGGCGACGGGGCGGCGACGGGGCGGCGACGGCGAAAAGTATAGCGCCAGACCGACAGACAGGCCCAGTTGCGGGCGGCGACGAGGCCGCAACGGCGCGGCGACGGCGACAACATAGTCGCCAGATGACCACTTCTGTAGAAGATGAGCAAGAATCCCGAAGTGCAAGCGTTGCTTGGGTAACTATACTTTGTAGGCAGGATAATGGCACTGGCGCGTGAAGCAGGCAGCCTCCGCCACGCATGTCGATGACCCCTCAGGGGCGCCCGAAGATTCTCCCGCGCCTGCTGCATTTCAGCTGGGAGCCCCTGGCTGCCCCGCACAGCTGCACCGTGGAGCCCGGAGACCTTTTCGCTTCATTTTGCGCGGCTGCGTGCTGGAGCTCCGGGCCCTCTGGCCTCGCTGGCAGCGTCCCCGCCGCTCGCTCGCTCGCTCGCTCTTCCCGGCCCCTGGGCCCCCTTGGCCCCGGCTCTTCCCCGGCCTCGTGCCCTGGCCTTGGCCTCCTGGCCTCTGCCTCCCCCCCGCCCTTCCCCCTCGCTCTGGACCCAGGGGGATTTGGGGCGAAAAAATGCAGAGGCATACCCCTAAAACATGGCCCACAAATACTCAAAAGTGGTCAAAAAATCGTCCCCAGAACTATTTTTGTTGCTATTTTTGAGCATTCCCCCTCGCTCTGGACCCCAGGCCCCCCCCCCCGCCTCATGGCCAAGGAGCCTCTCGCGCTCGCGCTCGTGGCTCCCTTCGGCGCCCGCGGCGCCTCGCTCGTGGCCTCGCCCCCGCCCGTGGGCCCGCGGTGCCCCCGGGCCCGCTGGCCCTCCCCCCGCCCTGGACTTCCGTCGGGCCCGTCCCTCTACACAGGGGGAGCGTTCAAAATAGTGAAAACATAGTCTTGTGCCGATTTTTTCAGCACCTGTTTGGCTACCTTGTGGTATTTGTTGTGGATGTTCTCAAGTTCTCCTCCAAAATCCCCCCCTGTAGGAGGACATGCCCTCTCTACTCTGGGGACGTTTCTTTTAGCATCTTTTTGGGTTTACTATTGGGGGGGTATTTTTTTCGTCGTCCAAAACCCTCCTGTAGGAGGACATGCCCGACCTAACCTTGGACCCCTGGCCCCCCTGGGCGTGTCCCAGGAAGCCCTCCCAGTGATCGAGGGTTGTTAAAGGTGCCCCATGCCCAAGGTGCCCTCAGCTTGCCGCTGAATGTTGGAGCCCCTGGGGCCCGTCTTGGCCTCGTGTGGGATGCTCCGGAGGGAGCCGGGGCACGCGCGCCGCTTGTCTGCGGGGTGTTCCCTACGACGCCGTCTTCAGCCCGAGCGCTCCTCACGTGGAGGTGGAGGTGGCGAGTTTCTCTCAAGGCTGGAAGCAATGTCTCACCCCTGGCGATAGCGGGCGCGACCAGGGGGAGGGGACGGGGGGGAGGGGGCGAATCACGTCGCGACTCGCGAGGGCGCCGTCTGGGAGCGCCCAGGGATGGCTGATTCCCAAGCGGCGCTGGCGCGAGTCGTGGCGTGACCAGTCTGGAGAGAGGGGGGGCGGGGGCGAGGCCGGTCCCAGGCGTGATCGCGAGCAATCGCAAAAGTCAGAGGCAGAATTTGTACAGCGCGGTTCCTGCCTGTGTGTGTGTTTGTGTTTGTGTGTGTGCTCTGCAGGCGCATCGTCTTCGGCACCGCCCGGCCCCGGGGCGTTGCCCCCTCTCTTGGCCTTGGCGTGAGGCCCCTCCTTCTGCCCCCTCTCTGTTGATTCAAGCCGTGCGCGGCCCGCTTAGCTTCGACCGGAAGAGGTGGGCTCTCGACCCGCGAATCAAAAAAGTTTGTGTGTGTGTGGGCGGGTGGAGTTGTTGCCCCTCAGCCGCAGCGCACCATTCCAGGCCGACTGGATGCATCGGTTCGACGCCAGTGGGCTGCTCTGCGAGCAGGACCTCACCGTCAAGGGCAAGGCCTTCGCTCTGGCACGCCCTCGAGTTCGCGGGCGGGTAGCGTAATCAATCTCAACGGCCTGCTGTATGCACGCGCCGGGCGCGACCCACTGGACGTTACAGCGCGGCTATGCGCGAGGGTCTGGATCGATATGGATATGTTCCTCGCTCGTGGCAGCTGCCAGCCTTCCCACGTGATGGCCGCGTGTCGTGGCCATCGGTGTGGCGGAACTCGCCGCTTTCAGCTAGATTTTTGGGGCCCCAGAGGCCCCAGTCCCTTGCAAGCACCTCATCCGCCCCTTCTGGTTTTTCGCCGACGTGTGCTCCAGATTTCGTAATGAAGGGAGGGGGGTCTCATTTCGGGCGGGGGTCTCTTCCCGGCTATCTTGGAGGGCCTGGGGGGTCTGGGGACGATGTTTTGGAGGGTTCTCCCACTGGGGGAGGTCTGAAGTGACATGTCTTGGAGGGTCCAGACCCCCTCCCTTTTTATGACGAAATCTGGAGTACTGCCCCGCGCGCGTCATCTTCACGAGGTCGCCTGTTGCAGGTCGGCTCGTGCAGTGCTCCGTGTCTGCCTGGCGTCCTCACAGGCTCGCGTTGCGGCCGCATCCGAGGCGTGAAGATTTGGCCTGGCATCGCTCGGACGTGTGCATTTTTTTCTCGGCGAGGACCTTCGAGGAGCATCCTCGACCATGTGGCGAAAAAACCACGCACGAAACCGAAAAAAACTCAGGAAATGGACGTCCGAGCGATGGCCAGTTGGTGGCCGCGCTCCCTCCTGCTTCTCCTACTAAAAATAATATGTCCCGCGCTCGGATACTTTTTTTTTTTCGCACGTCCAGGTGATCTCGACATGATGGCAGCAACTGCGTTTCAATCCCTACTCTGTGCATTCGCGTCGCATTCACTGGAGAAGCGTTGCGCACGTTCGTTGGTGTCTTGTTCGCCGGAGACCAGCACGAGGCAATATAGGAATGTAGCGCCAGGAGCAGGGAGGAGTTGCCCGGGAATTGCATCGTGCTGGCATGCAACTCAGAGTGGCACAGGTGAAGTCCCCAAAACGGGTGGGGTGAATGGACCAGGATATTGTTGAGAATACTCAGTGGCCGTTGTCATCCAAATTCGCTGGCCAGTTGTTCCACCTTATACGTGTGACTGCAGTTGAGGCGGCGGGGTGACGCAGACGGTGCAAGGTTGTTAGGGACTTATCCTCTTACATCCTCCTTCGTGGAACGCTGGATTATTTGTCGGTTGATGTTTTATCATAGATTCCGTCGCCCCAGTGTAACTGTACGTCCCATGGTTTTCCCTCCTTCTCCTTTTCGCCCTCCTCTTATCTGAAGGGCTTCGCCCTATGCCGCCGCCCACCCCCCCCCTCAGCTTGCTTGCATGGCCACGCTTGGTTGGCTGGCAACTCGGCTGATTGGCTTGTTTTTTTCCGCAGTTGGCAATTGGCATTCGATTTGGCCAGCTTGCTGGCTGGCTCGTTGCGCGCCCCTGTGATAACGCACTACAGTGGAGACCCACGCCAAGAAACGCCCTTCTTGTCTCCAGGGTGCCCCGGGTTTCTTGGGCCTCGATGGTGCTGCCATGGAGAGCGTGGCGTTCCCACACCAAAAATCCATAGAAGTCCTGGGGTCTCAGGATTGGGTTTCTTGTGGGGGGGGTTCTCGTGGTCGGGCCCCTGCTGTAGGCATCGTGGCCTCTGGAGCACGCTCCCTCTGCAGTGTGCCGGCGTTCGAGGCTTCGTGAGCGCGCCCCCCCAGGCTATGTGCGGTTAGTGGTGGCCTCGAGCCCCGAGCCGATTGCTCAGGCAACGACCGGCGGGGGGGGGGGGGCAGATCAGGAGGGGAAAAACACACAGACACAATTAATCTTCGATTCCCAGGAAAATGTAGGAAAATATGGGAAGTGGGGGGGAAGACAAGAACCCAGAAAATATTGGAAAATATAGGGGATCCTGTTATATGTGTGTATTTATTTGTGTGTCCCAGGGCCCCTTCAGTAGAACAGACGCCCCCCGAGCACATCCCCCAAAGCGGTCTTCAATCACGAGCGGAGTCACTCCGACGGCAGGACCCCGCATGAGAATCCCTTTTGGTGCACATGTGCGTGGCCATCGACGACAGACGATGGTGATGATGCTGGGACGAAGGGCGCCAGGAAGCCAGGACGCCAGGACACAGTGATGCTAGACCACCAGCATGGCGAGACCCCTGAATGCCAGGAGGCCTGTGCAGCCAGTGGGGCTTGTGGAACCTGCGGGACGAATGGGGTCTGTTGAACATTTGAGGACCCGTACGACTGATGGGGCTTGATTTGTGGGAGATTTGAAACGAGTTCCACTTGTGGGGCGTGTCGGGCGTATGGGATATGAGGGGCCTATGGGGCATACTGATAGCTGGGATACTGCAATGTTGTGGTTTGGTTGTCTTGTGAGTGTCTGATATTCGATGTCTCCAAGGTCACAGCCCACGATCTGGCGTTCCCACATGCCACCAGCCCCCCGTTTGGGCGTATGGGACTTGTGAGTCCTGCTGGACCCGTACGGCCGGTGAGACCTGTGGAGCTTCTGACCACGACGTGTGTGTTTGTTTGCAGGGTTTGCCGATGGCCCGCTCAGATACAGATCATGAAGCGCCGACCCCATACAGTGCCGTTTTTAATACATGCTCCGCGTACGGATCATGTATCAAAAATGCAGGGATTCAGTATTAAAAAACAACGATGAGTTCATGCATGCATGTATTCCTAGATTAGTCATGTATTAACATACTATGTTTTAAACATCCTACGTATTAGAAACTGCCCCATAGGCAGGGAATGCCCGCCCGACGCGTCCTCGCAATTCCGTGGCAGACGTGCTCCGCTCGAAACTTCCTCCACGCAGGCCTCGTCAGCACAGAAGTGACTGATGATGGTAACACTGGTACCATCGTCATGATCATCGTCCTCACTATCATTCTCGTGATCATCATTATGACGATGACGATGATGATGATGATGATGATGATGATGATGATGATGCTGATGCTGATGCTGATGCTGATGCTGATGCTGATGCTGATGATGCTGATGCTGATGCTGATGATGACGATGATGATCATGATCATGATCATGATCATGATCATGATCATGATGATGCTGGCACTGATTCCTAAGGTCCGGAGCCAACTGGAGTCCTAATCTCGCATGTCTGAAGCCAACGGTGGGCCACTTCGACTCCACTCCTGGACTGATTCTGAATGTCTGGGGCCAGATGTACGCCACTTCGGGGTCTTCCTGCCCACAACACTCCACTCCTGGAACTGACTTCGATTGTCCAGAACCCAAATGTGCGATACTTCGGCCTCTTCGTGCTCCTGACACCCACCTCCTGAGATTGATTTTGCTGTGGCACATCTTTGCAAGTCAACGTCCTAGTATCCCTGGCATCTCGAGTGCCCCTGGCATCCGCACGGGTCCCACGGGCCCAACGCACACGCCCCACCGGTCTCACAGGGCCCACAGGTCTCGCAGGTCTCATGTTGACTAACGGTGAGGACGACGTCGACCATGCCAGTGTCCTGCGAGATCATGGTGACGATGACTCTGATGGTTCCGAAGATGTCGATCATATTTCAGTGTGCGTAGTGATGATGCTGATTATGATGATGCTGATTATGATGATGATGCTGATGATGATGATGATGATGATGATGATGATGTTGATGCTGATGCTGATGTTGATGTGGATGATAATGATGATGTTCGCGAAGGGAGGGGGGATGTTCATGAGCGGCTGCGCCCAGAGAGCACAATATTCCCACTTAGTGCGTGGGGAGCTAGACAAGAGGAGATCTTAGGAGCTGGAACTGGAGCACGGAACAGGACAGCCTGTTGGCGCCCAAGGGGGCCAGCGGATATCTCTTTTCCTCCCACGTGGTGAAATCTTTTGCCTCCTCTCCTCATCCTCCCAATCCCTCGACATCCAACATGTCAGCCCAAAAGATGTGGAATACCTTCTCGGACATGTTTCTCCTTTCTTCTCGCTTCTCCTTCTCACTTCAACTCCCTTCTCCATCCAACCCCCCTTGCTTTTTCTTCCTTTCTTGAGGATGCCAATCCTAGGAGGTTGAACTCAGCTTTGGCACTGGCACATCCATGACTGACAACCGGTTAAATGAGGCACGATCTTATGTAATGCCATTGTGTCCAGCCTTCTCCCTCTGAATCGGGGCTATGCCCGTCAGGCTCACGAAGCCCATCCGTGCCCCACCCCCCCGCCCACACCCCACCACCTGGGCGCAACGACCCACCGAGAGGCGCACAAGCTGCGGTACTGGCGGACGCTGAGCGCACCGAGCGAGATCAAGGTCGACGTCCACCTGTACGAGGTGCTGGGAGGGCGAGGAAGACAGGGTCCGTTTCTGGACCCCCGAGTCGTGACGAACATGATGACGGATGTTGCCCGTGCTGTCGGCCTGTGGGGACCGTTTCTAGGCCTCGGGGCCTTTACCGGGCCTCCGGACAGTCAAAAAAGAATTGAGGATCAAGCATTCGTCCCCGCGAAGGGGTCCAGACCTGTGGGAGCTGACGTTATTGAACAATCATGGCGTCGGGGGTCTGGGCTTCCATCCGATCGATCAGATTCGATATTGAGTCCGGCTGGCCCAGTCCGATTCGATTCCGATGTTCCCGGCAATCCGATGAGGCCCGATGTTTGCATGGCGCCGCTTTGCAGTATGGCGCATCCGGTCCGATTCGATCTCGGCTCCGTGCCAATGCAGCCCGATCCTACGCACGTGCCGATCCGATCCGATGTGCCGCTTCGAGGCTGACTGCAGGGGCGACGACAGGGGAAAATTGGCTTAGGGGGCAGCATCGACCCCACCATTCATCGCCGATAGGATCTTGAGGGCCCAGCCCCGCTCAGGAACTTGCGGCTGCGCCATCAGGAACCTGCTTCACCGATCTATTGGCGATGTGACGTGCCGCCGATTCCGAGTCAATGTTTTCCTTCCCTGGGTTGGTTCTCTTTCTCGCTCACCCGTAGGAGAGCGGGAGAGCGGTGGGGGTCTTTCCCCCTCACCCCCTCCAGCACTTGAGGGGGACAGGGGAGAGAGGGACGGGAGGAGGCAAGAGGAGGAGGACGGGATGCAGGTGGAGGAGGCAGAGGAGGGAGAGAGGATGAGGATGCTACCCCCCTGAGAAGTCCGCCCCCCCGGTCCCAGACATCCGACGACGTCATTTGGTTCTAACCATCCTGTGGTGTTTGGTCTTCGTTTTGAACACGCAGCGCCCCGCGTCTCCTCACTCACTCTCGTACCCTCTCCCTCCTCCCATTCCTGAGTTCCCATCGGCACCCGCCTACCCCGCCAATCGTCCTCCAATGTCATCCTCATCCTACAACCGTCCTCCGCCATCGCCATCGTCATCATGACCTCATTCATCCTCATCGACGTCACATCTTCAACATCATCAAAATCATCAGCAGCAGTAGCAGCAGCACCACCATCACCACCGTCGGCATCAGCCGCGCGCTATCCCGTAACGACAGGACCCTCGCACGCATCGTGGCCCTACAGGAAATTTTACCGAAGGCCCCGGTGTCAATGCCCCACCCGTTTTTATCGCCTTTTGCACGCTCCTGTCGTGCCGTATTCCCTCCTGCAGGTCTTTCGCCTCTTTCAATCGGCCGGCCCATGGTTTCCCCGACGCCTTTCTTGGCTTGGCGTCGACTGCCTCAAATAAAGTCGGAACCTAGAATTCGAACTTCCCCAAGAGACCGCCGTCCACTCAGAACGGTGACGCGAACGCCCATTCCTTGACGCCCCATCGCCAGGCACGCGATTCTGGGGTTTCCGGAATTCCAGGAGTCATTTTTGTGATTCGAGGATTTCCGCAATGTTGTTTCGGAATTTTCAGAATTCTTGTTAGTATTAAACTCGCTCTCTTACGAATTTCCGAATTCAAGAATTCCCGCCGGAATTACGTCTGTGGCGACACGGACATTCTGGCATCACGTTTTTCACGGTTCGGAATTTCCGAAAATGCGTGTTTGATGATCGGGCGTCTTGGAACAAGCTTTGGCGTTGCCGTTCACATAGGGGTGCGGCCATCTGCAAATGTTAGTAGCAGAAATTCAGACGCTATTTGAGGCGGTCGGCGCAAAGCCAAGTTCGTTGAAATTTGGATGCAGCGCACTTGAGGCTATTGTAGATGGCATCGCCATTCTCAGCACTGGTAGCACACCCCTTTACACCACACCCCTGTCCGACCTCCAGTGGTAGTTTGTCGTTCCAGACTTCTTTTGATGGCCCCGGGACCCGGCAGCGGGACCCGGAGGCCGAAAAGATCATATCGTCGGCGATGTGGGGTCTTTTCGGAGGTTGCCCGATCTCCTACCCTGACACGTCGATTAGCGAAGTGGCCGTTTTGGGTTCGCGAAAGGGCGTCGCGGCCGTCATTTTTCCGGGTCCAAGTCCGTCGGTTTCGGCCCTAGGCCGTTTTCATCATGAAGGGTGGTTTGCTAAAGGGAGGTTTGTCCACCGCCGATCGTTACCCACTGTTCATTCCTAATTCTTCGAACGTTCCTTGATTTCTTGGGGGCCATGATCCTTTCATTTCTAACCTGGGCCTCTTCCTGGCCACTAGGGAGCCAGGAACAACTGGCAACGAGCACAGTTAGAAACGAGCACGATCAGAAATGGGCGACGTGTACAGTCGGGGCGCTGAAGAAGGGCCCGGTGTTCGTTGGGGAGGGGCTCGGTGTTCCCTTGATTGTTTTACAGTTTGCCTTGTGCTTTCCTTAGGTTATCAATGGCAAATCGAAGTTTAACGTATGGAAAAAGGGGCCTCGTTCCTTATCTAGGTTTCCTTAGGTCAACGCCCCGATGTGGACCCCTCCACACAGGACGGTCGGGTCCAGAGGCCGTGGCATGGCTCCTCGGGCCAGCACGTTTGCACCCGCCGCCCGTCTCCCGGGGCACGTGCCGCCTCCTCGCTCCGCGGGGAGCCCCCCCCCCCGGGGGCCCGAGCGGCTGCAGCTCTGAGAGCACGCTCCTCGGGCCCGGCGCGCTGGGAGCTCTCGGCGCGGTGGTCCCGCAACGGCCGCGTTCGGGGGGGATAGGCTCGAGTCCAGCCTGTCCCTCTACAGGAGGAATACTCAAAAGTAGTAAATCGATAGTCTGGGAACGTTTTTATTTTTTTTTCGCAATATATATATATATATATATATATATATATATGTTTGACCATTTGGGAGTTTGTTTGTTGACTGTATTTTAGTTTTCTCCGAAAATCCTCCTGTAGGGGGACATGCCCGACCTGAGGATAGGCTCATGAGAAAACGCATCGACACCCACTCTCGGGACCTCGCAAGAGGGGGGGGGGGGGGGCACAAAGGGGAGGGGGAGTTCCGTCCGTTGGCGCATCCAAGCCGCAGAAAAACAGTGCCAAACGAGGTGTCGGGCCGCCGCCGGAAGCCGAGAAGTGTCGACAGTCGGGGCGCGCGGGGGGCATCGGTTTTCGGAAATTCGATGCACCAGCGGATCGAACTCACCCCCCCCCTCCCGGTTCCCCCCCTTTGGTGGACCCCGACACTCGAACATCCTTCGCCGATAGGTCCCCGATAGCCCACACCACCCAGGACCGTGCGGTACTGCTATATGGGGGCCCATCGCAGATCTGTCGGCGGTCTGTCTTCGATTCAGGGTCGATGTTCCTCCCCCCCCCCTGGGCTGGTCAGCTGGTCCTCCCCTATCGCTGCCGCTCAGTGGTGTCTCCTCGGCGTGGTTTTCCACGACGGCATGCGCAGATCTCCTGCGATATGGTTGTGTTGAGCCTGGGCGAATTTCCCTGTGTCCGGCCTGTGGGGGCCGCGATGGGGCTCCGGGGCATCAACAACGAATCCAGGGCAAAAGACTGCCCCTGGGGAGCGCTGCCACTCGCGCACCGCCACAGGGTCACGCAAGTTCCGACTGCACGTAGGAGGGGCCCTTCGCTGGAGTGACCCTGGTTGCGGGCCCACCGGGGTCCTTGCTGCTGGGCCTCCCAGGTGGTTGTCCGAGAGTCGCGCCGCATCGCCGATGCATCGCCGATGTGTCGTCGATGCTTGCGATGGGTCGGCGACGTCGGCGTGGAGAAAATGGGGCTCCACATCGAGCCGCATCGCCGATGCAACTGGATCCATCGATACGACTGGCCGTGAGGTCGACAGTAAGATCGATCGAGTGAGATCGGTAGCGGGGTCGATAGTGACATCACGTCGCGTCGCAGCATCGTCGTCACGCGTCGTCGCAAACTCGAGGGCGCGCCGCCAGCATCGTCAGCATCACACCCATCGCAGTTGCCAGCAGTTGGTTATTCCCCCTCCCCCCAACCTCCTTATCACCCGAAGGGTGGTCGTAGAGGTCGGAGGTTTGGGGGTGAGTCCGACGTGAAACGGAGATCCCCCCTACCGGGAAATCGATTTCGGTTTCGGGTTCGTATCGTGCGTGCCGTGCGTGCGTGCGTGCGGGCGAGGCGAAGATGCGTGGGCGGGCGAGAGGAAATCCTCCTGTGGCTGGGCCGCGGCTGGAACGATTGATCCTCTTCCCGCGTCCGGTGGCCCGCGGTGTCCCGCGGTGTCCCTTGGTGTCCTGTGGTGTCCGCCGTTGCTAGGGCGAAGTCAAGACAAATGATTCTCCCCCGCCCGCCCGTCCGGCGGTGGCTCACGGTTTCCCGCGGTGTCCCGTGGTGTCCCGAGGCGCCGTTGAGTGAGATCGATAGTGAGATCGATATTGAAATCGACATTGCGATCGATGTGGTGCCCCGAGGAGTCCCGTGGTGTCCCAAAACGTGAGATCGATAGTGAGATATATAGTGGGATCGACAGATGCCCCGTGGTGTTCTGTGGTGTCCCGATGAGTGAGATCGATAGTGATATCGATGTGGTTCCACGAGGTTTTTTTCAGCCGCAAAGGTAGCAGGCGCAGCGACGGCAGAGGGCGGCGAAACCAATACCGACGAGGACCGCTACAGTGCACCACGACGAACGCGACGGGGCGAGCAAAAGCGGCCATGCAGTCCTGTGTGCACGGGGGGCCTGCACCCACCCCCCGGCCGTGTACCGCACCGAGAAGACCTCCAGGAGCGAGAACACGAACGCGACGACGATCACCCTGCTCCTCGGATGATCGCCGCCGCCCGCGCGCGCAGCGCCCGCCGCCTCTCCTCAGCCTCCACGTCTTCCGCGAAACGGCCGTCGGGGGGGGCAGCAGCGGCAGCCCCAGCACCAGCATCTCCACCAGGAACCGCCGCGGCAGGGCGCACCGCCTCCACGGCGGGCGCCGCCCGGCGCACGGGGAGCAGGTCGGCCCAGCTGTCGTCCTCCAGGGGCGAGGTCGGGGCCACGACGCCCTCGACCTGCGAGCCCTCCAGGACGCCGCCGTCCACAGCCATGCTGCCGCCGCCGCCGCCGAGGTCGGGAGCGGGGGCGAGCGCCAGCGCACCAGCGCCGCGGCGCCTGCGAGCCCGCCGCCGCCGCCGCCGAGGCTCCTGGCCTTCAGGCGGCGCGTCGCCAGCGGGGGCTGCGGGCGGCCCCGTCGCACCTCCACCATCAGCCCCACCATCGGCCGCAGGGCGGGCTGCCCGAAGCCGAGCGCAGCAGCCTGGCGGCCGCCGCACCCCGCGCCAGACCAGCGGCGCCAGGCACCGCCAGCGCGGCCCCACGGGCCGCAGCCAGCGCCGCGCGGCGATCCGTCGCCGCTGGCATCGGAGGCCCGCGGCGGGCGCGGCGGCCCAGCGGCGGCGAGCTCGACGCGGCACGGCTTCCCTTGAGTCAAGATAACATGGCTTGAGCCAGAATGGCTACGGACTTGGTGCCACGAGGTGTTCCCGTGGTGTCCCAAAAAGTCAGATCGATAGCGAGATCGATAGTGAGATCGACAGGTGTCCCGTGGTGTCCCGCGGTGTCCTCTGGTATCCCGTTGAGTGAGATCGATAGTGAGATCGATAGTGAGATCGAAGTGGTGTCCCGAGGTGTCCCGTGGTGTCCTATGGTGTCCCGTTGAGGGAGATCGATAGTGAGACCGATAGGGAGATCGAGAGGTGTCCCGCGGTGTCCCGTGGTGTCCCGTGATGGCCCGTGGTGTCCCGTGGTGTCCCGTTCAGTGAGATCGATAGTGAGATTGATAGTGAGATCGATTGGGGCAGATGTTGGTTCCCCGCCCTTTCCCCCCCCCCAGAACCTCCTTATCACCCGAAGGGTGGTCGCATAGGTATTTATATCCATATACACTGCGTCTTGGACTTTCTGGGGACGGGCGCCAAAAGGCCGAGGCGCAGTGGATTTGCATAAATAACAATCTAGCCTCGAGGGGCCAGAAGTGTACTTATACCTATACGACCATCCCTCGGGTGAGGAGGAGGTGGAGGGTGGGGGGGGAGAACCAACTGAGGACAACTGCGATGATTGTGATGGTGGCGATGCTGGTGATGCGCTCGCGCGAGTTGGCGACAAGGCAACCGGCGGGACACCACGGCGGGATACCCCTGGCCACCGCCCAAGCACACCGACGGGACACCACGGCGGGACACCGCGGGACACTCCGGGACACCCTTCCACACCATGGGACACCGCGGGACACCAAGGGGACCCCCCGGGACACCACGGGACACCATGGGACGCCATCGGGACACCACTGCGGGACACCACTGCGGGACACCGCGGGACACCACGGCGGGACACTCCCCGCTACCGCGCGCCCGCCAGAGGGCCGGGCTCCTGCTGCATCGGACTCGCCCTGGCGACGGCGGCATCCTTCCTCCTCGCGCGCCCACCGAGCTTCGCCTCGCCCGCACGCGCGCCGCGAGCACGATACCGAAACGGGTTTCCCGGTGGGGGGCTCTCCGTTCCACTGCGACTTCACCCCCGCAACCTCCGATGGCCCGCCATAGCCAAGTCGGGCCTGCCCCCTCTACAGGGTGAATACTCCCAAATTGTGAGAACTAGTTCGGGGACGATTTGTGGAGTAGCTCTTCTGTTTGTTGTCATTTTGGGGTATTTGTGTGAGTTTGTTTTGATTTTTCGCCCCAAATCCGCCCGTAGGGGGACGTGCCCGACCGGGCGCTGCAGTGGGCGCGTCGCCGCCGCGAGGAATGCCACGCGTCGCCGGCCGCGCGCCGAGGTCTGCGAGGGCGGCTCGGAGCGGGAGGTCGTGCACGCCGTCCGGTTCTTCGACAGGATCCCGTTCAAG